GAATATGCGCATTCTTGGGACAGAGAAATAACAAATTCTGTGGCCTCCACAGGGATTTTTGAAAGATGCAGAATTTTAGCTCAGACTTTGCAGTAAGCACCCCACTGTTGGATAAACTCTCCTGAGATCCTCCATCTCTACTAGTGGGCAGAGATGGTATTCCTTCTATGAGATAGTAGCTCCAACAATATAGTAACTCTTAGATCTCTCCAAGCCCATGAGATGTAAAGACATCTCACTTTAGGTGTAATTGCTGCAAGAAGGTAGGCAGGCTCTCTGGGGAAGATGCATATACTCTTGATTCCAGGGCAGCAAGGAAAACAAGAGAATTTTCTCTCTGAAACTTCTATCTCTGATTCAGAAAGCCCCTTTTTGAGCACTCAACTGGGGGCCAACATCACTGGTACTGCTCAGGAGGCCCTGTGAAGAGAAACTCACTGGGAATGGCTGCAGGCTGAGCAAAAAGCTTAGGGGAGGAACATACAAGGTCTTGGGTGGGTACTGACTGGAAAGTACATGCACAGAGTGGGAGGGAGACGTACCATGTAGCAGCAGTAAAGCTTTGTCATACTTACATGGGTCTGTTACTGTAGTACCTGTGCTTAACACAAGCGTAAATACCTTTATCCTTTTAATATATGGGCGCTTATATCCCTGCTCCATTGGTAAGAATTGGAGTACAAGGCCATAAAGGGCCTCTAGGACAAAAAAAAATTGAATTCATAGACCCCAAGCCCTCAGTTACTACCCTAACCATTGCTCTATACTTTTTCAGATGAGAAAATAGACATGAAAAATGTTATATCCAAGTAGAGGTTTAAGGATTTACAGTAGCACCAAAACTTCTTGTAGGCTGTCCAAGAATCCATGAGACAAGAATTTTCTGTCACCATTTTCATCACCTCAAATGTTTTACAATAGTAAAACACTGTTTTTTTCTCCTAATAGTATCTACAGAGATCACAGGATATGACACAAACACAGATGATCCACACGCCCTCCCAAAGGAAAGGTCCTCCATGTCACTGAAGGAAATGGCAGCATACCCGCATAGGGTTGTTGAGCGTCCTTGAAGCTCTCTCAATGAAGTTGAACTGGTTTGCTAGCTTCTGCTCCTTCACCCTTGGGGGATGAGGCTCTTCTGCCTCTGCTGCCTCAGCTACTTCGGCTGTGCCTGACCCCTCTGCCTCTTCCTCTCCTGCAGCCTGCAAGAAAATAGAGCAGTGACTCCACCCTGAAAGAACGAGACATCTCGTTCCTTCTTCAGAAGCACTTCTTCTTAGACTGCTGAATTTCTGCTGCCTAGTGAAGGAGACTGTAACTGAAGGTTCAATATTTAAGATGGAAATCAGGAGACTTCCAGCAATAAGAGCAAGGATATTCTGGAAGAGTATCTAAATGGGAATATGGAAAACCAGGAACTGAAGTTACTTTAAAACAAAGTCTGACATGAGTGAGATAATATAGCATGACTACCTTTGATAAAATAGACTCAGGGACTAGAAGACTGTGCTAGAGTCCCACTGTGCTGTGTTTTCATTTTCTTGCTAGACAGGGAGCTTTATCTGAAACTAGCCTGAACTTGATTCCAGGGCCTGACACCGTGTGGATAAGAAGAAATTTCTCACAGCATACTCCTTTCCTGATCAGACAACTGCCTCTAAATCAGGCCACTGCTTATTTCATGTAGTTATGCCTCCTGCTTTCCCCCCCCTACATTTTATTTTTCACCAATTTCTCTTTCAGGAATGGACATGCTGTCCAGGAAGATTCCAGATCCCAGCAAATTACACTGTATCTTGATATAATATCTGGATAGAGACAGACCTGGTGTGTAGGGACCAGTCATCCCCCTACACAGCTTCTCCAAACCAAAAAAATGGCAGGAGGAGCCCAGCAGTTCAGTAGAATTTGCAGGATCTCACCAGCAGAGACATCTCAGGCATAAAAGAATCAATCACAGAAGCTTCTCAGCAAGCCCATTTTATAACAAAGGAATTTCAAATCTTGTATTAAAAATAAAATGGACAGCTCTCAGCTGACTATGGAGAATTACCTGAGTATCTCCTGTGCTTTCTTCATCTTTAATCTCTGCCTCTTCAGATGTTACTGCAGAAGTCTCAATAGGAGCCTTTTCTGATGACAGAAAGGATAAGCAAATAAGCCCAGGATAATAGGACATATTATCCCATATTCTGCAGATCCTTCTATCTTCTTAAGCATTAATATACAGATGCATCCTTTCCTAATGCTATCTCATTAGACAACACAGTAACCAATCCCCAATTTGGAGGGTTATTATTTGCTCAAAGCCACAAAAGGAGACAATGTTATTACTAAAATGAAACTGCAGTAATTCTGTCTGGACTGAACTAAAAAACCTGACTTCGATTCATATCAAACTTTTGAAATCCACTTCTGATCTCAGTAGCTTTGTTTCTGGGTATCTCTTCAGCTCTGGACCTTTCTGCCCTGCAAAAATGGCTGCAATTATGTACAACCATGAAGAATGCTTTCAAGGCACACAGGAGTTATAACATGGTTTGTTCTTATTTATATGGATAAAAATGAATATACTAGTCTTGCTAGAGAATGATGGATGTCTACATTCCAATCACAGCCTTGAGTGTGTAGTCATGCTAGCATCAAGCTGCTTGAAACTATTTGGTTTGGAATCTACGAAAAGCAAGAACAATCCATGCTTTCATGGCACTGAAGATCCTATTCAGCACTTTGTCCTACTTCAAATCATCATGCACATTTTGTTAAGTGTGAAATAAAAGAGGCACTGACCCTCAGAAGCTGCAAGTAACAACTATTCTCAGGAGCTTATCCAGTGTTATCATCATGCCTGACAGTTACCACCGTGAGAGGTGGTCACCGCTCCTTGTGACACAACTTCTCCTTTCACAAACAGCAGAAATATGAGGAAATCACTAGGCAGTACATCTTTCTCTGCTGAAAATTCAAACCTAGAACTCTTTACTAAAAACAGAGCTTTTCAACCTCTGATTAAGGTGTCTTTTTGACTGAAAACCTAAGAACGGTGATAGTAGCTCAGATCAAAGGCCCAACTAGCTCAATATCTTGTATCTCACACTGTCCAGAAGTAGATGTCCTGGGAAGAGTGTAACAATTGGTCAAGTATTTGATAGTTTCCTGAACGGTCACCTAGCCTCCACACATTTCTCCTTTAATACTTTAAATCATGGCTGAAACTTTCAAAGCAGGCTAAGGAGTTTAGACATGTATGTCCAACTAATGGTAGTGGAAGATGTTTAAAAGACAATAAATAGCTCTGAAAATTTCAGTGTTAGTGTTCACATGGCTCAAAAAGCCTGCACCGTTTTCTACACTGTGTCAAACATCTGGGTGATTGTTTTTTCTGTTTTCATTTCCCAAGAAGGATCCAAGCTAAAATAGGAGCTGTTCAATCCTATGGTGATGAAGCATGATGATTCCCTCGTGTTGAATAAGTGGTACCAGTGCCTAGCTGAAAATGATTGTGGTTTCAGATAGTAAACCCACCTGCTGCAGTGCTTAATTTGATACTCTGCCGTCTGCCTTCATCTGAATCTTTGAGTATCATGTTTCCATTCAAAGAGAAGTGAATGGCCATTTGATCCACATAGCTTATTGGCTTGTATGCTCGCTCCTACAAAGAGGAAAAAAACAACAAAATCAGTGTGGAAAAATATTTTAAACCAGAAATACTGTGAAGCCAAAATTCCTAAAGACAAGAAGATCCATACTGATAAATACATGTTTGTTATTGGCAAATTTACACTGAATTTCTTCCAGCAGGTATTTATATCTCAGGACACTGAGAGCCATAAATTAAAATACAATGAAAAGAAGCAAGAACATGAAACCTCCAGTTCTCCACCACTACCACAGCAAGTGAGTTTAAATATAGTTCTAGTGGACCTCTACTACACAGTACTCCCTGAGAGACTCTCATGTCCTGTTGCGCTGAGATCCCTGAATGAGTTGTTGTACCTACACAAGATCAGCACCATACGTAGAGAGCAGTTCTGATCTGGAGACAGTACAGGCTCTTAGCACCATGCCCAGGTTATAAGCACTGTACAAACTCAGCTGTTTGAAGCTAGCTTGATTGGCACTTGCTTGTGGACCACTCTACAGTGCAGCCATGCACCTAGGCTCAAACTGTGTATTAAGATTTTGAGCTGCACCTAAAAGCAATCAGAAGGCACTGCAGACCACAGATGATTCAATAGTTTCTTCTCAAAGATATGACTGCTTTCTGTACCAATCACAGCATAGCATCGAGCCCACTTCAGTCACTGTGGATGATTTGAAGATATGGTTCATTCATCACCTCTTTCTATCCCATAAATATGAAAACATCAAATAGAAGAGAAAGTGACCTTATCTGCTTCCACAAGACTGGTTTCCTTTCTCTGGTGATCTCATGTAATGGTTGGTCAAACTAGTTACAGTAGCACCGACATGCGACAGGCTTGGGAATATTTCACTTGGTTGTCTGTTCCCTGCCAAAGGTTGGGGATAATCCAGTGTTGGAGCTGGAGGAGCTGTCCCTGTGACCTTTCTTTCAGGGGGTGTAACCCTTCCAAGGGAGGAGCGGGAGGCAAAGTCATCATTCCACTCTCCTCCTGCAGCAGCCTGTGTTGCTAGCTGTACATGCTAGCAGGAGGAGGCCGCCCCAGGGTAATGCAGCATATGCTCTGCACACACAAATGTGAAGGTGTGACTCTTGGATGTTTCCTGGCAGTATGTGATGCACCCTCCCCTGCTCACTCCTACTCATCATGAATAGAGCTCTTGTCAGCGATTTCACAAAGCACTTTTCTGAGCTCTCCTATAATTCAAACACCTGAATCTTGATGTGAGGATACTGAGGCATAACTGTCTTACAGACTGAGTAAAGCATTGCCTTTTGTCTTCTAACCACCACAGAATGGAAAAAGGTACCGCCTGACATTGGCTGCACTAATTATGTTCACTGCCAGATCTTGTTGAATAATTGTTATATCCTACTTCCAAATAAATATGTCAATGTTTTTGGACCTTTACCCTCTGAAAAAACCCTTTAGGAATGATTGGCAGTAAACACATAACAAGATGAAGTCACATTAAAAGGAAATTTACCGGGCTATAAATCAAAGGGAAACACAAAACCAGTTAATTGCAAAAAGTCTCATCCTGGATTTACAGGTTGTGCCACACTTACTTTAAAGCTGTATCTGACGATATTCTGGGGAGCATGGGGATTATTAGCTGTCAGGATGCGTGTAAATTCCTCTTTTAATTCCTTTGGAATGGAAACAAAATAGCATTATAAATAAACTCCACTCTTACTACAATGTACAGCATACAAAAATCACCAGGTTTATGCTTAATTTTATGATGTTCAGTTTGCTGCAAATAGACTCAGCTGATGCCTCCACAAGAACAATGCTAGGAGGCAAGCTAGCTTACAGTGGAATCCAACACAGTCATTTCGCTTCATGCCATAGTATTTCAGTGGGTTTTCTTGAATTCTTTAGCTGTCATGTTAATTCTTATCTAAGCTATGGTAGTACTTGAAAAATGCTAGCTGCATTCTATAGGGCAAGAAAGACAATCCATGTCTTGAAGCGTACACTGTCAAAAAGTAAACAATAAGCTCAGTAGCAGCGCTTGCAGGGTCAGCCACTGCAAACAAAAAACAGTACTGCTGTTAACTGTTTCCACTACCTGAGTGGGGGGAATTACATATAGCTTCCCTTTGAGAGCTACTTGGAGGACAGGTAACAATGTTAGAGTTTTACACGGCAGCAAGGAGAGACAACTGCAGTTGGAAGGGTGACTGACTGCAATCCTACTGAACCAAGCTAAGAAGAAATGGCCATAAAACTGTAGGACACCTCCCTGTCCTGCGTATCACACACGAAAAAAGCTCAGGGTTGGTTCTAGGGTCCTCCTTATCTGAGGAAAGCCCCGACCCATTCCCCTCTTGTCTCAACTCCACACAGATTGTCTTAAGGCCAGAACTGTGTTTCAAAGTACATTCTCCCTGTTTTCCTGCTGCAAGCCATTTCCGTTTATGCTGCAGATACCATACTTTAGCAAGTACTGGAGTTTTACTCTCACAGAATTTGCTCCAAAAGAAATGGGTAGGCTTCGGCTTATGGAGTTTTCTACACTTCTCATGACAACTACAGGCACTGTTTTACTCACAGCTTCAGTCAGCTCCAGTTGATCTGGGGGTTTGACTAGAGTCTTTGCTGCCGCCCATTCATCTGCTCCCTCTCCTGCTTCAGTGGAGACATCTTCGTCCTAGCACAGGAGCAACAAGCCCATTAGTGCACCAAGATTGTGACTGTTTTGCTCCCTCCCAAAACAGAACTTCTCCAGGCATGATGGACCAAGGAGGAAAAAACAGCATTCCCCCACCCATCTGTGCTTTGAGCAGAGCAGATAACCCCAAATTGTAGGCCCAAATTTGAAGATTGTTGAATGGCTACACTTGTCAGCAAGAGTTCAGTCAGTTGGAGGAGTTGCTGTCTGAAGATAATTCCTGGCCTGTAACAAAACTGGAGTAACTCCAATAACAAAACTCAAGTAACCCCACTTCAGTTTCAGTTTAAAAGTTGGCAGTTCTATTTCTTTTGACCATATAACACCCAAATGAGCAATACTGTAGGACTACTTAAGGGCACAAGTCAAGGACCTGCAATTACTTCTGAAGTGCTATTCTATAAGCTACACTTAAAAATTAGTGCAAGATACAAAGCTGCAGGGATGTGGCTCCTGAAGGAATGCTAACCATTTTCTTGCAAAGGCTAGCAGGTCTGCATTCTCCCAACACAGAGAGCTGCTCTCCTTGGGCTGGGCTTGGATTGCTGTCATGATATGATATCATTAACAGGAAAATGAATCACTCCAGGGATGAATTTCAATTAATTGTCATTACAGATAAACTGCCAGAACACAAAGTTGGGTATATTCTCTTAATCAAAGTGTTTAACTGCTCCAGGCAAAATTTCTCCTCAGTTTGAAACGTGTAATGGGTTGATTTAAAATAAATCAGTCATTCTTTTGAATACAGTTCTCTCAGGTCTGCTAAACTTTATAGTCATACAGAGCTGCCGATGAGTCCAGGGTGTAAGTGCAGGCTGTCTGCAGGTACAGAGACTGGACCAACAAAGCTTTGCTATCTGCAGAGCGCCACAAAGGTAAAAAGCACAATGCTCTGTAAAAATGTGCAGTGGCTGAAAGTAACAGAGAATTCTGTGTATGCCAGGCATCCAGGGAAAGTGACAGGCTGCAGCTTTTTTTTTCCCCAAGGGAGCTGAAATGAGGCAAGCGGTAAGGAAGGTCAGGTACTCTGATACACAACAGACTATGACAGCAGAATAGCAGTTTATGATTTAACGCTCCCCACATGAACAACTGCTTGTAGGATATTTATCATACACAATTCAATGCCAGTTAGTTCAGTGCCATTTTCCCTAGTGAAACAGATAAAAAAGTGTTGTGGGTTTAACATTTTTATTTATGTTTTTCATTTAAAGTTAAATAACTTTCCATTTTTAAAGGGTCAAAAGAGGAACATTTAACAAGACTGTGATTTGTCCTAAGAAAGTGAAAAGCTGTTTATCACCATGCCTGTTTAAAGGCACGTAAACTGTCCTTTTTCCATCCATGCCAGTGGAGCTAAATAAGAGGAAGGCAGATTAAATAAGGATGTTGTAAGCATTTATTTGCCTGACAGTAAAAACATTATCATGAGGCTAACAATCAAAAAGTTAACGCTATTTTCTCTAATGCTTGTATTTCTATGTTAATTAAGTGAATATGGGCTACCTTTTGAATTTTCTAAACTGAGCACGTAGCTTTCTCACAGTCTATGTCAGCCTGTATTTTGGAATTTACATACCAAACATTTTATTTTAACCTTTTCATCTTGCACTTTACCTAAACTGTGCCTTTGTTTTAGCTGCCATTTTTATTCTAACTTGCTAGTGTAATTCCCTTCTCAGTGGAAATCTATAGCAACCCCTTACTGCTAAATCAATTGGAATGTTACCAATTCCATACAGCATGCAATTGTTCAGACTGAATCTAGTTTGCATCTCATAGGTAAAGAAGGGGAAAACATTTTTTAAGACTTGTGGATCTTACCCGTTTTTTAGATAGAGCTTTAGCTGGCCTTGGCTGTACTGCCTTTCCTCCTGAAGGTCCACTTTGGCCCTGAAGCGAGAACATACGCAACGTAAACATTCAAAGCATAGTGTTTCCTAATTTAACCAAAGCAGAATAAAAGTTCAATGTGCTTACTGATGTTTGCTGCAATGGTATGTTTCAAAAGCCAAGTATACCAGTATTTTGTCTATAAATCATTTGAATGAAAGGCAGTCACTTTCATAATAGTGGTTGAGTCCCCATCCCTGGAGGTATTTAAAAGACGGGCAGACGTGGCACTTTGGGACATGGTTTAGTGGTGGATTTGGCAGTGTTAGGTTAATGGTTGGACTCAATGATCTTAAGTGTCTTTTTCAACCTAAACGATTCTATGATTCTATGATTCTAATACAAGACAGTGGTTTATCAACATGAAAAAACGCTAGGCGCTAGCCTTGTTATTGCCTATCTGTGATACACCTAAATGTCACACACACAGGGTTCTAGTGCCTTAATCAAACACACAGAGAGGCTGCTCTTGCCCCAAATGCTTGCTTGTCACGGTGAGCCTGGAGACAGCAGATCCACAGCTACAAAGCCACGAGTGCTGAAAAACCGTGGAAAACACTGAAATAGTTGTTTACAGGGAGCCTTACAGAGTATTTCTAAGGGAGACTACCCAGAGGTTAAGGAATAACAGAAGGGCACCAGTGACAAAGCTTTATGAAAACTTTACAGAAAGTGCGAGAGGAAATGAAAAGAACCTCTCTGAGAAGATGCTGAGAGACAGACAGTACCAAGAACCCAGATGGCAGAGGGAGAGAGAGCTGATAAATCAAACAAAGGAGACAGCATGAGAAGCGTTGGCAAGAACAGTTTCAGGACGGATCCCAGATAACATTGGATGGGATGGATGGGAAAAGCAGAGGAGTTACTTGGAAAAAGTGTTTGACTTTGTGACAGGAAAGAAGGGGATACTAGAGGAGAAAAGGGAAGGAAAACAAAGGGGTGGAGAAGAAAGCTCCCATGGGTTTATTGATTTTCTTTAGAAGGACATTAGAATGTGCCTTTCAGCTCAGATCAAAGGTCCACCTAGCTAAGTATCTCTCTCCAACAGTATTCAAAAGCAGATGTCTATGGAGCTTTCTCCAGGATGCCCTCTCAGCTTCCCACAGGGACTTGAATCAGAAACGCTGCTCTTTTTATTTCATATCAGTGTATCTTTTTCTCCACAAATTTATTCAGTCATTTTGGAATCCATGCGCATTTTTAGCATGTACAACTTCCACAGCAAGGACTCCCACGGTACAACTACATGCTAATGCAAAGAACTGCTGCTTGCTTTTTAAGTCTGCCACTCGCTGCTTTCATCTGGTTTTCCTAGTTCTTATACTGGAAAGCCCAGCTTTATCACACCCTCTGTTGTTCATCCCCTTTTCCGTATCTCTTATGAACACCTTAAGGAGCACAACAGAGATTCCGAGACTCCTCTCATGATTCCCCTTCATTATGAAAATTAAATATTCACTTCTACCATCTGATTCCTATGTATTAAGCAATTAAGGAGCCATAATGACTTTGACCCAGTATCCCAGTTCTTGTTTCTAAAGCCCCATTACTTTTTAAGACTTGAAAATAAGAATTCAGAAAAGAAATATTTTCAGAGGAGAACAAACTGCAGCAGAGATGTGAGGCTGTGACTTTCAGTGTTTCCCTTTGTACAAGCTAAGCCATGTAAAATTGCTGTTACTAACAAGGCATCAGGGATTATTTTTATTCCAGAAGATACATATTAAAGGTGATGAAAAATGAGCAGACTGATACATTTCTATGCTTAGAAAATGTGCCTCACTTTGAAATACAAATAGTATTTCAAGCACAGGCTTTACACCGGAGACCCCACAGCTGTAACATCTCACTACTGGTCAGTTAGAGAAATGTAGATATGCAGAACTGCAGACTGGGGAGCTGGACAAAGCTGGTTTTAGGGGTATCAAAGAAAACAAAAAAAATAGTATCTAAAACACACTTAAAAAGCATCATATATAGTAATTTTGGATGTAATGTGGAACACCAGACCAATGAAGAAAGAGAAAGGTGTTAAAAGAAATGAAAAATGAGCAGACCTATACCTTTTTATGCTTAGAAAATGTGCCTCACTTTGAAATACAAATTGTTATGACTCAAGTGGAGAAAATAGTTATGACATTTCCTTTATAATCCCACAGTGGGCTGGTAGCAGAGCAGAGCAGAGAGCCTAGGAGCCCCAGCATCACAACCACTACTGAGCCTGCTGGATTACACAGCTGGCCTGTCTCCCTGCTTCAGTTGCTTGGCAATGGGCAAGAGAGCACCCTATTCTACAAGGACCATGCTACATGTGAATTAGATGTGATGTAAGCAACAAAATTTAAAACAGATTTTCAGAGTAGAATTTTATTCAGATCCAAATCAAAATCAAACTCTTAATTTTAACCATGAAATAAAGCCTACTCACTATTACCCTTTGTAAATGAGTCTATAAAAGCATTTATCCAGCAGCAAAGGCATTGACAAGGCAGTCTGAGGGTAATTGGTTTTGGCAGTTGCACACATGTCAATTAACATAATCTGAAGAGCCACCTGTGAATAAATATCCTCAACTGTATTAAAATCCAAAAGTGACACTGAAGAAAAGCTAGAGTTAGAGTGCAGTGGAAGAAAGCAGCACAAACCCTGCACTGCTCCCCACACCACAAAGGATTTGTAGGGTAGAGCGTGAGCAACTTTTCTAATCAACCAGAGGCCCATGGCTAATTTGTTTTATTTCTTTTGTCTTTGTACGGTACCATTATGGTTTTATCACTGTAACTTAATGATATAGTACAGGCCTGGTATGATACACAGACTCTGAGGAAACCCAGGGTGTGGCATAGAGGGGTACAGGCAGGGGATGATAAGAGATGGGGTACAGGCTTGACATCAGAGACCCTGCAGCTGTAAGTACTGGCTGAGTAGAGAAACGCAGACCTGCAGACAGGACAGAACAAAGCTGGGTTTAGAGGTAACAAAGAAAACAAAATAATAATATCTAGCATACTTAAAAAGAATCATATACAGTAACATCAGATGTAACGTGGAACACCAGACCAACGAAGAAAGAGAAAGATGTGAAAGTGTGTTAGCTAACATACAAAAGAAACGCCAAGTAGGTCCTAGAGTGAAGAAGAAACCGTCAACATGGACATCTTATCCTTCACAGTGCAGGACCCCAGGTGCTGACAACTTGCCATAACATCCCCACCAACGCCACCAACAACAGCAAACGAAACCATCAACCTTGGGAACCAGAGGACCAGAAGAAAGGTGAGCACAATACCAGAAAAGGGGTAGAAACTAAGAAGCTTGCATGCAACAATTTTAACTGCATCATCATCATCATCATCATTATTATTATTATTATTATTATTATTATTATTATTATTATTATTATTATCGTTATTATTTTGTTTTTCACAGAAGTACTTCTTATTTTCTGTAATAATTACATCTGGACTGATGAGAATGTTTAGACTAAGATTTCAGTCACACTAACTTTAAATTCTTAGCTTTAGATATATGTGTGCCTCCTCTTTGCCTTGTAAACAAGATTTTGAGTGTAACACAGTTTACAGACTAAAAAAAGAACCAGGCTCTGAAACTCTGAACTTTGATCCCATTAATGTTCTAACCCTTTATCAAAGAGTAGCAGTTGTGTACAACTGGGAGAGGGTGTTCAAGGGAGGGGTGTCATCGCATCAAATTCCTGCTTTACTGCCAGACCCCGCTCCCTGACTGTGGCAGTTTGCTTTGGGACTCCCTGGGAACTAAGTGAATTAGTTCCCCACAGCAGGGAGCAAGAAGATGACTGGCAGGACAGTTATAAAATTGCAGTTATCATCTCTGGTATTTTGAACTAAAAATACTCCAACAGCCCCCTCCAACCCAATTATGCCTTAGGCCTACTTGGCTATCACACAGATCCTTGGCCAAGTGCTGCATAGTACGGACACAGTTAGCCCACTCCAGAAGTGTGCTAAACCTGAAGAAGGAAGACGGGAGCACTGACCAGCGTAGGCCCTGGGCTTTCTTCCATATGTGCTCCACGAAGACAGACAGCCATACCTGGAGCAGATGAGCGCAGGTTTGTCTGGCAGGTGGTAGTAGGGACTAGGAAGGTGTTGGTCCTTAGCTCATTCCAGGGTCCTTCAGCAAAACTCTCGTCTCCTGCCTAGATAAACCATCCCTCACAGCACAGAGACCTACTTCAACAACAAAAGTTGAATATCTTATTTGTTGGATATCCTGGACTCTGGCCAGTGAAGGTAAAGACTCCAACTCTGCTTGACTCGATGCTCTGCAAAAGTCAGTATAAAAAGCAGAAGGCAGCCTTCGGGATGCAAGCATCATCCTTGCAGGGATGACCTACAGGAGCCTACGCTAGCAGAGTGCCTGAGGTGACGGAATGTTCACCCGAAAGTACCTAATACGGTTGGAATCCAGCTGAAAGATGACACAAACATGAAGAGATGAGATGAGATCCTAGTATTTTGGCAATATTAGCACTAGGCAACACTCATCAAAACTATTAGATTGGTTTAAGACTATTATAAGAAGCAAGGTGGGGAACAAACATGGGTCAGTCAAGAATACACAATCTTTTACATTGCCTCCTAATTCACATAATAGCACAAAGTCTACTGCTGTCCCCCTTGCTGGAAAAGGCAGTCCTGACATTCCTTTTTATTGGTGTATCTGTCTTCTGTCCTTTTGCTATCTTTTTTGCAAGCTCCTGCTCTCTGTAAATCTTTCCAAAGCCAGCACACTGTCCTTACTCACTCCTTTCCTTAAAACTCCTCTCTGCCACATTAGCTGTAAAGAGTCCTCAGTTGCACCCAGGTAGTTGGTGTCCTGCCACCACGGCTCATAATGATGGCCTTTGCTTCCTCATTCTTTTTTTTTACTGTATCAACGTGTTATCCATAAACTATTATTTAAGACTTAATCCTTTTGCTCTGAGAGCTATTTCTTTGTTCCACATCACACAGTGT